TTCCTGAGGAAAATTGAGAGCTTAGGGAATTGTATGCATGCTGTTATTTCTAATACGCTACTTTTGAATACAAAATAGGAAAGAGAACTTGTGCGTTGTGAGCATCAACATGATTTTTAATGGCGTGACGGCTTATTTTTCCAGCTAAAACATCCTTGCTAATTAGAACTCAAAATGATAAGACTAAAGTTTGAAGAGTATAGGGGAAAACTTGCCTCATTAGGGATGCTTCCTGTCGTCTGAAAACTAAGTAGACAGAGCCGTTCTTCGCTGGGTTCAGGAGTTTCATTAGAGTTGATAGTGAAGTAGTTCAGATAAAGCTTGGATATTTATCAACATGCTCCAAGTGCTCTGCACTGCTCCCAAGCAGCGACAAATACAGCTTAATTGACCTGTTTAGCCAGGTTTATGGCTGATTTCCATTCCAGATGTGACACCCAGGTCCTATAGATGAGGCTTGTCTTGAGCTACAGTAGAAAATGGGATATTCAATTATTTGTGAGGTTGCATCTGTCTGTGATGATTCCAGTCTGTTACTTAACACATAGGGCCTCATCCAACGTTCATGGAGGTCAGTGAGAGGTTTTTCATTAACTTTAATGGTTTTGTGATCCATTTCACATGCAGAAGCAGTTGGCAAGGAAGTACCTACCCAGTGTCCAGGAGGGCAACAAAGTGGTTGAGGGTGGGGTACATTCATTCCAGTCAAACAAACAGAAGGAAAATGTACCATCACCAACAGGAGATCAGAAGTACAGCTACCCCAGGCAGGTGGCCCACTCTCTTTGTGCTGTACTCTAGTTCTGACTATATATGGAGCCTAGATTGCCTATTTTTTTTTTAACAGTTCCCTCTCAGAAGAGCATATAGGTGGAACCATTGAACTCCGCATGATGGCATTTGCAGTAGATATGGCAAGAATAGGGCTCAGAAATAAAAATATCCGAGTGGCGTATTGATCCCATATTCCAGTTCCTTGTTTTTATTAGTCAGGTCTTGTCTATTAGGAAAAGCAACTATCAGATGAGGGCTGTAGCTCTAGGCTGCTGTCTTATACCCAGGCATGCTAATCCTGTTTTGTTTTATACTCAGTGGCTAGATACAGACATTAGACACAAACTGGTATAAGTGATCGGAAGCCAGTCTAAACCTGTAACAGAACAGAAGTTCAGCGTGCACAGACTGGTTTTAAAATGGCAGAACCTGGTCGAAGATGGACCTGGACGGGTGTAGTATCAAACTTTATCGATTTAGATTTACCTCAGTCTATCAAACTTCTGCACCAAAATCTCCTCCCAATTCAACTTAGGTTGCAGTCTGCCCGCATCCCAGGCACCATTGTGGGGGGCCCTCTTTTTCTTCCCTTCCCTCCCCCTCTCCCCACAGGGCAGTGCGCTAGCCTTGAATGCACTCATTTGCTCCCGCCAAGTGCTGGACCAGCCCTGCCCTGCCCTGCCCCTGGGCTGTTACAGCGATAACAGGATCCAGGATTGAGAATTATGCAGGGGTGATGGAGGAGGGGGAGCAGTGGCCCCCCACCCCACAGGCACCCCCAGCTGTGCTTGCTCAAGTCTGGGCGCACACAGTGGGGGTCTCTGCTCCCCCACCTCTCACCCCTCCACTGCTGCCCAGCTCAGCTGTTGCAGGCAGGCAGGAGCCAGGCCTGAGAGCTGCACGGGGCTGTCAGCAGAGCTGGGCAGCAGCAGTCAAGTGGAGTGGAGGCCTCTGCTGTGTTGGCCCAGCTGTGCCCCCCACCCCCCTCCCCGCCCACCCGACCTGAGCAGGCATAGCTGGCAGACACTGTCCCTCCTGCTGCCACTGACACCCGGCTGCTGGTAGGGGCAAGGCTGGGGAGAGATGCCGCTCTGGGAGGCCTGTAGGAATGCCCCCTGCCTTCTGGCCTCAGCCAGCTCAAACATCTGTGTGCCCATCCCACACTGAAGGGCGAACATCTGTTCCCTTTGCTCCCGATCCAATCTCTGCAGCTTAGAGCAACCTGAGTAGTTTGATTGATTCCACCTTGGGCTTTTTGAAGGTCTGCACCTAGCCACTTTGTGCTGCTATTTGTGATTGTGGAAGGTGCAGGGCAACAGCAAACTGTGCTCCCTGAGTTGCTCCTCTTGCTCCGATGTTTATAAATAGCAGAAAAATAAAACTACAGGACACCCCTGTGAATACAGTAGATCACTGTAAGGTGTAAGAACCTACCAATTTGATAACCGTGGGGCCAAGGCCCTGGATCAACATTTGTCCCCTTCAGCTTCACTAGCTAAGTCATTTTAATTGTAGACTCCCAGAATAGCAAGCTATTGGAATGTGTGAAATAATGCATTTTGGCATGAGGAGCATTTTGGTGTCAAACTGTCGGTTTATTTTTTTGAAATGATATTAAAATCAGCATTTGCAAAAGCTATGCGAACACTGTGATAAGTGCATATGCACACGGTGTAGTTCCTGACTAAGGCTTGGTTAACTGCTGTTACTTTTTGAAACTTTGGCATGGAAAACACTACTGCATATTCATACGTCTTAGGCTTAATTTTAGCCACCTAGAGACTTCATTGTGGGATGCTCATATAATTAGAAAACTTCTGGATGAAAGCTGTTTTAACTGCTCTATTATTTCTTTTCACTTAGGGAGTTGAAATTATCAGAATGCTTTCATTTGCGTGTGTGCTGGGATGTCTTTGCTCTATAAAATTACGCCCCAAAAGACAAGGAAATCAGTAAAAAATAATTCAGGCCCTGTTAATATAATAGCAAATCCCATTTTCCTAAATGAGGGTCTTGACCTGGCCTTAACATACAAGATGCTCTTAGATGCACCAGTAGTCTCAGCAAGGCAAGGAAAGTCTTTCCATCCATGGAGTTAAACATATCAGCAAGTTTTGTGAGATGAGGATAGAAGTTGAATGAACACATTCCATGTATCAGAACTCCAAAAAAGCAATTTTTGGTGGATGTCAAAATATTCCCTTGGGTATTCTGGTGTCAATTTAAAAATTAGATTTCTTTGTGATTGACTTCAGTCAATGATAAAGGCAAAATTCAGTGCGTGTTTCAGTGTTTGTGTTGATAAATAACCACTTAATTTACCTTGGCTACTGAAGGGTATTGAGCTGTATGTATAGTCTCTTAAGGCATTCAGTACTGTTGCATAATTTGTTCTCCTTTGGCATGTTAATTGTCATGGGGACAATGCTAAAAATAAGGACTAAAACATTATCTAAAACAAACAACCCTCCAAGCTTTATAATTTCCATGGATAACTGATTGTCCCTTTCTGCTGTTGGAATAGCATAAAATGGCCAGTGTAAATCAGGCAGGGTAGACTTGCACCTTGTCCCTGATTGCAACTAGAACCGAGCCCAGCTTGTAGGATTTCATGGGCTGGATTCCTTGTTGTCCTACACCACATGCACTCGTGCATATTAGTGTAAACTGGGCATAATTTACTACCAGTCTGAATTAGCAGAACTCTGTGCAATCTACTTTAGTGCAAAGTGAGAGCCATGGAGATCATAGCTCTGGTTATGAGTCTTTGCTGAAATGAGGAGGATAATGCTTTTTTTTTCTTGGAAATGTAAACATTTTTGCTACATAAAGTAAGCGTCTCCCCCATTGTAGAATTGTACATAATCAGTGTTTCTTACAATCAACTGATTTTTACAATTGCTTCTAGGTTCATCACTTTTCTTATGCTCGCTTTTGCCCTGATGTGAATTAAAAATGGTTGTGTTATAACCGTTATGAAAAATGCGGTTTATACTACCAATACTGACACAGTCTTAATTATAGAGCTGCCTTGCAGCATCATTTTCACAACTTGAAACCGAATTGCATTAACTGTGTGCTACCTGGCTGCACACGTGTTCTCGGTAAACGCCGCTGCAGCTGAAAAGCTTGTTTCGTGGCAGAAGTGGGGAGTTAAAGGTTTCTAAACTACAAGGAGACCACTTGGGCCTATGCAAGGCATTTGATCTGCACAGAGACTTATTTCTACTGTCTCAGGTTTCTGGGAAAAGAATAATTTGTACTTTCTACCCAAGTCATCTTCAGATTTGCAGCTCTTTCTTTATCAGCAGTGCTGTTACTCTATCAAGAGCTAGATATGGTCATGGATATAATGAGGATCTGTTGGAAAGAGTGCTGAAATCAATAGAAGACTTCTGAGTAAGTTATTCATCTCTCTGTGCCATGGTTCCCCCTATACATAAAATAAGGATAGGGTAAAATTTCGACCAGTAATCTGCATCCCGTTTTTAAGAGGTTCCTGAGAACAGGGGTCCTCCTGATATAAAACTGAATAAGAGGTGGAGAATGGACTCCCCTTGTCCCTTTCCAAACTAGATTTTCTCTCTTCTTCAAGCAAGAAGCGGCCATCCACTTGTTTCTAGGGGAGACGGGATTCTGAATGCTGATTTCACGATACAGGGACATTTTCTAGAGTAGGAGAGAAATAAGACCATTGCATACACAACACAAAGACAGACAAATGCATATAACACATAAGCTGGAATGTGCTTGATTTACTATATTTCAAAGCATAAATGGTACATATTCAAAGGAGGTCCAGCTCCCTTCATATAAACTGCATCATTGTTTTTTATTAAAATTAATATTTTCACTTGGGTTTTTGAGGATTTCTTTTTAATTAAATGTGAACAAATGCATCCTTGAGTAATGCAGTTTCAGGCACAACCCCAAAGCACTTAGAGCTATGTAATGTCTCTGAGCTTCACGTGTGGCTCCTGCCAACACTGAGGATGATGGTTTTATGCCTCCATTCAGGCGAGGCTTTCTCATCTAAATGCATGAAGCTAATTGGTGTCATGTGACTGCACATGTTCAAGAATGGAACATAACGACTGTAGGGAA